GTTTAATCTATATTGGGTGTGCAAACATCTTTACATGCAGGAATATCCTCAAAAGCTTGGCTGTGGCATATGGGCAGATGATAGTAAAGAGTGGATTTTTCCATGCAGATCCTCATCCTGGAAATATTCTGATATGTAAAGGTTCTGAGGTGAGTGAGGTTAATTGCCTATAAAGTTACAAGCATTGAACTCTTTATGTTGACTACTTTTGAATTGCGTATGTTAATCGAACTTGGCTACTATTTAGGTTGCATTGCTAGACTATGGGCAAGTAAAAGACCTCCCAGAGAATCTGAGGCTTGGATATGCAAATCTAGTGCTTGCTATGGCTGATAATGATCCTATAAGAGCAATCGAAAGCTATAGGTGGTTACAAACTGACAATTCTTTTGGAATTGATTTCTCTGAGCTTCGTGGGTTTAGTTTTTCTCAAAAATAGGAAGTACAAATCTATCTCATTGAAATTAATCTAAAAACCATATATACGGACATTAGGTTAGAAAAACTTCCATATCAATCTGATGCTCTGATTCTCATCCTTGACTTATTTCTTGACTGTTTATAGGGAGCTTGGTATAAACACTTTGAGTAAATGCGAAAATGAACAAGAGGAGATGTTGAAGTTAGCACAGACAATGTTTGACACAAAGCTACCTCCTGGAGTAACAATGCTGCAACCTTTCTCTGAGGGATCCTCTATTAAAAAGATTTCTGTTGAGGTGCTAAATTTTGATGCTTAAATTGTTTGTCCAAAATGTTTTTCAATCCTTCTTTTTTTCTTATCATAAACGTTGCATCTCTCTTTTCTTTCTTATTTTTTACACAAATTAAATCCCCTAAAAGTTCTGCTCTCTTGTTTGATTGTATCTGAAGGCTTTTCCTGAAGAACTGTTTTCTGTTCTTCGAACTGTTCATCTATTAAGAGGGCTAAGTGTTGGCATGGGCATGAACTTTTCGTGTGCTGAAGAATGGCGACCCATAGCAGAAGAAGCTTTATATCGTGCTGGTAGACTTCAAGGTAACCCTTGAGTCTATTACTGTACCAGAATATCAGCTATTTTATGCCTTTAGATTTGATATCTACTTGTATGATTAATCATGACTATGATTTCCGGTGGTTGTACAGCCAAGGATATGAAGGAAAAAACACAAAGACACGGCTGGTTCAGAAGAACATTCCGTAGGCGATAGCTATTAACGATTGTCAGGCTAGAGACAGATGCAAATTTGGAGAACATACAAATAGCTACTGTCTCATCCTCCTTTGTTCACTCATTTCTTCTTGTTAATGCCTTTCTGTTGTTGTGTTATCATTCTTTATTGAGTTATTACAGAAAAAAGGAAGAGAAGAACTGATAAGCGGCTCATTTTGATATCTCTTGTATTATTCTAGCCACTCTGATGCCTATTGGCATAATTTAAGATGTTTTCTGTAAACCTTAGCAGGTGATACTGCTGATACATGTTCCAATACAATCTGAAAGTGAATACATGTTCAACATTTTTAACAACAATGGGCATCTTTATTGGGCTATAAAATTTTGGGTTAACATATATTGAATTTTTCATACAATCAGGTTGAGCATAATTCAGGACGATCCATTGATGCTAGATAAAAATCATAAAATCATTAAAATAGAAGAGAAACCGAAGTATAAATTTTATTCCGTACAATGTGAATATGTTCTTTCAAGAGATACAATAATTGAGAAAAATGGAAAGGTTCGTAGATTCTTTGTATTGTGCTCACTCTGTCCCTTTATGTTTGCCTCATTTATCTTTTTAGTATATCCTTTTAAGTTTGTTCCATATTACTTTTAGTTATAGAAATAAGAACTGCACTCTTTCTCTCACAACCACTTCACTAACACCACCATTTTTCTTTCTCATCAAGTCTTTTTCAACCAAAAATTAAATAGGTAATTCTCCCCAATGGAGCAAACAAAGGAGGACGACAAAGGTAGTATCCAATTAGGTCGAGAGTAAGGCATCTATAGCCTGATATACTACTACTCCGTGGTTTACTTCTTTCAACTCATACTTTGTATTATTTAATGTATCTACTATCATTTTAAATTTTTTATTAGGTGGAGTTGATGAGAAAGAAAATTACTGTGATCAAATTCATCATATTTTACAATTCATTACACCTATTACGTATTTTATAATTTAAACACTAGTTTTCCAACCCCCCTCCGTTTTCTCGATGTTTAATGTTCTTCTCTCCAATGATCTAAGTTACACTATTAACCACATTTTCAATATTATTACACAAGGGTTTTGTGAGTGAATTTGTGACTTCAAAAGAGCAAACAAATTCCATATCTTAAACTCCTTAACACAACCCACCATTTCACACAAAACCCAAAAAAATTCTCATCATCTTCACCATTGTTAGTTTTTGGTTGAAGGAAGAGAGAGAAAATGGAAGCAATAAGTGGATTAAGCAGTCCTTGCAATTGCATTTCATCGCTACCAAACTCATCCCTTCCTTCCCACCACCAAAACCTCCTCTTCCGCCGCAACAACCACCAAAAGTTAGCTGCATTTCACTCACAATCCCATCTTTTTTCCACAAAATGCCCTCTTTCAACTTTCTCTCCTCTCCGAAAGAATTCCTTCAAACCCCGCATCTTTCTTCCTCACTTAGTTGCTTCAATGGTCTGTTTTTCTTCATTGAATTTCACTTTTTAACTTTTTTTGGATAAATTATTTTGAATTTCATCCTTTTTTGGTGTTATTGCAGAATCAAGTTGAGGAGACCTACATTATGATTAAACCAGATGGGGTTCAGCGTGGCCTTGTATGTTTTTAATTTTGATTGATTTTTTTAATGGGTTTGTTTTAATTAAAGGAAAAAAATTATGGCTTTTATTGGATTGAAGATTTGCTGAAATGGGTAATTGATGAAATTCAATTTTGTTTAGGTTGGAGAAATAATCTCAAGATTTGAGAAGAAGGGTTTTAAGTTGATTGGGTTGAAGATGTATCAATGCCCCCAAGAATTAGCTGAGGTATAATTATATAATTTTGTCAATTCTATTTAAAGAATTTTCTTGCTTCTTTTGATAAATTGGGTATATTGTTTGCTAGATTAGGACTTTAGGTGTTCTGTGCCTGGTTAATTCGATTTTTGTTATGAATATGTCTAAACTTATGAGAATTGGCTGCTTATTGTGAGCTAGGTTTCTTCTAGTAAAATTAACACACTTTTTGTTTTAATTGACTATATATAATTAAATTATGTTGGGTTGTATGAAGCTCAAACTCAATTGTTAGAATGTGACGAAATATAGGGGTAAGTTTAATTTTACTGATTGGAAAATATATATTCAATTACTGGGAGAAAACAAGATATCATCCTAATAAGGCTTATATCCTATTGTATAAGAGTAATTGAAATCGGGGATACAAGCCTCTTGATTAGATAGACCCTTAGGGTGGCAAAGAAGTTGACTAGAGATCACTGAAAGAATGGGTTTTTATATTTTTTTTGTTGAGTTTCGGTGGGTTCTTATTTGCCTTAATATCCACAGGAGCACTACAAGGATTTAAGTTCAAAGTCGTTTTATCAGAAGCTGATCGAATACATTACTTCTGGTCCCGTTGTGTGTATGGTAAGATTTATTATCCTTTATGGTCTTCTTACATGCAATATTGGAGTTGGGATATACGTTAGTAGAAATTTGAGGCGATGTTTGATGATTCTAGGCTTGGGAGGGTGTTGGAGTTGTTGCATCATCACGTAAGCTAATAGGGGCCACAGATCCTCTTCAAGCTGAACCTGGAACTATTAGAGGAGATCTTGCTGTTCAAACTGGAAGGTTGGTCTTTTAACCTACACTGTTATAGTGACAGATTCGTGATGCTATTTTAGAACTGATCAGCTATGCTCTGCTCTTCTCTTCTTTGCTCTGCTCTACTCTGCTTTGCTCTTAACGCTACCTAATACTTGCAGGAATGTGGTTCATGGAAGTGATAGCCCTGACAATGGAAAGCGTGAAATAGGTAGGAACTTCTATGCTTCAATCTTACTCATCTTGAGGCTTTCTCTCTGAATTACTTCATTGTTGTCATGTTTGGTTAATGTGTCTAATTGTAAATGTGCCTATTATGTGACATTGTATATGGCATATTGTTTCTGATGGCATTTGTGGCCTTCTGAATGATTTATGGTTTATTACCAATGTGTTACACGGCAATACATTTCTGTCTAATGGTTAGAAACTCAAGTACTAGGAGTTCAAAATCTTGTTAATATGGTATGATTCGTACATTAGAGATCAGGAAAGGGGAAACTACTAGTAATTCTGCTTAGACAGTTGCTTGCTGAGAAAGGGTTTATCATGAATTGCCACTCTTGAAATCGCCATTCTTTATCATAGATTGATTACAGAGTTCATATATTCTATCCTCCAAAAACTTTAAGTGATGAGATCAATATGACTTATATGAGGGTGTGTTTCCTACTCTGTGTAACATTAGAAGCCTAAGAAACTCTCACTTGACGGGGAAGCTATAAAAGCAACAAAACTCTGCTGCAACTACAGATGATTTTCTGCTGCACGACAAGATTTTTCTGAAAATTGATAGTGCTATTAAGGATAGCAAATTAGCAATGTCTATCAACCTACTTTTTGGGCTGGTTGTTTGTACAATTGTACTCATACATTCATCAGCATTGATATACATGTAATGTTAATGTACTTGAATATTGAAAGAATTGAATATTTGTATCTGACTTTATACTCGCATTGCAGGTCTGTGGTTTAAAGAAGGTGAAGTATGCCAATGGACCCCTGCTCAAGCACCATGGCTGAGGGAGTAGTCATCTTTTGACCCGTTTTTGTAATTCTATTGATAGAGCGTTGCACAGTTTTGAGGCCTTGTTTGCACTGGCTAAACATTAATTTTGCCGTGTGCTTCAAATGTATTCTCTATATGATTTGTGTATTTTCATATAGACAATCACAAGTTTTGTAATCAAATACAAGTTGCTGTTGTAATAAAACGCTGATGATTCATTACTGATCATGCATTACAATTGTAACAATATGTGAAGTTTATCCCTTTTGATTGCTGAAAATCCAAAATTCAATCAGACAATACATTTGGCGATATTTATCAGATTAATCAACACGATTTAACATTACAATAACATAAATATTGTTACAATGATTGTACACCCTTACTGTAATTAATCAGCAAAGAAAACGCTGCCACCTTCCCAAACACGCACTGTCGTCGAGTATAGCTTAGAGTCTTGAGCAACCTGTCGATTCAGAATCACTCGAACAAGTGGAGAAACTCCTCGAAGAACCACCATTACAACCAGCTCCCCCTTCTTTTTTTCGAGAAGTAGCATACTTGGAAAACAGACAATGTATCGAGATTTCTCTGCCTATCTTCTGTTCCTGATTACGATTCGAAGAAACACCAATACAAGAACTATCAGTATTACAGGCAGTTAGTCGTTCTTGCTCGCCGCACAACCCTAAAACCTTGGAAGAATCCCCGGAAACAATCGAATTTGATTCAATTTCCATAGAATCTTGAACTGTCGGGCCAAGATTACGTTGAGAGCCTTGCTTGAGCTTCACAAGCGTCGATTCTACATCAAAAAGTTCAATGAAAAACCACTTAATCAATCAAATTACAAATTTTCAGCAGTTGAATTGGTCAATCAATCAAATTGAGTGTAAAGTTGAAGCATCAAATTAAAAACCCTAAATCAATTTTGTAAAGAAAAAAGGGTTGATACCATAGATGGAGAGAGAATCGTGTTTGAGAAGCTTGGAAGGAAGACGCTCTAATTCCAACAATTCCACCGGTGACGGCGACGATCTAATCCTCCCAAACATCTCTCTTCAAAATCTATCTCACTTTCTCTCTCTTCAATCTGTGTATTCTGAAAAATGAAAATGGAAGGAAAACAAGGGAAAAGGGGGGAAATGAGGGAGTTGAAGAACATAGAGCGGGAAACTTGTTCACCAAACTTGTTGAAATATTATACGACACCCAACTACAATCCCGCCTTCAATTTTTCTTGCTAAAGCTCAAAATTTTTTATTAGAGATTCTATTATGTATACCCGGGTGTAGTGGTGTACCATACATTCCCGGTCATTTGCTTATTTAATCAATAAATATTTGCTCATTTGTTGATTAAATGAGCGAATGATCCCGGTGTACGGTATACCGGAGTGTATATCAAAGAAAATTAGTGTATGCAATACACCTTAAATATGATTGATTATGTAAGTTTCTATCAAAGAAAATTAGTGTACAATATTAGTAGTTGCAAATTTTGGTAGAGATGTTTTCAACTTTGTACTCTTCAACTTGCTTTTCAAACTTTGGCAAAAGTATAATCAGAGCACGACGAGTCAACTTGTGCATGACTCCTATTATAAAAGTTTACAATAAACTATGCACAATGCAACTTCCTTTAGACCATCTAGGCATGATTTTGCGTAAGTAAAAAGTTCACTAACATGACACATAGACTAGCATGACCCTAGCCTGTGCCCAACTCGAGGATCCATAAAGGATTTAACTTTTTTTTTTTCAGAAGTACAAAAATAATTAAGGTATTTAGGCCAACAAGAATTGTGGAAAAACAATAATGCATCAATTGCGGAACAAGTTTTAAGGGACTTACAAGTGTTATCATCTCATTTCCTAATAATCTATTCTGCTAACAAAAGAGTTGATTAGACACAATATGAAAATGACTTGACAAATTGCTACAAACCTAGCACAACATGTCCAATACACTACTATGTTATGAATCTTGTATAAACATCATTTTCAAATTTTTGGCAAAATGCAAAAGGAATACAATGAGTCGACTTATGAATGACTTATGTTAAAAACAAGCTCTATAACACAACTTTGGTCTTGTTTGGTAATTGGTTGTCGGCTGCTGACTGTTTTTCTTGGCTGAGCTGACCAGCTGTTTGTATTGGCTTTTTATGTTGGTTGTTTGACTATTAGCTGTTAATAAATATGTTTAGTACAGTTCGTTGTTGGTTGTGGGTTTTATATAAAAATGACTTATAAAGACATTGAAATATTTTATTATCTTTGTAATATACATTGCAAATAATAATAATAATAATAATAATAATAATAATAATAATAATAAAAATAATAATAAAAACGAGTCCGTTTACCAAAAACGTTTTTTGCTTGTTTGACCAAATGAAAAACCAAAAACTAAAAGCCAACAAAAAAAGTCAAGCAAAAGTCATTTACCAAAAAAGGTCTTTATCTAGACACGACTAGCTTAGTTACAAAGTCTACTGGCATGACATGTGGACTTGCATGACCTAGCTTATGCCAAATTGGCAAATAAAGCGGATCTATATAAAAAAAATCTAGCTTTTTCACAAGTTTAAAAAGACAAATTATTATAAATATGTAGATCAACAAGAGATATAGGAAAAACAACTACGCACCAATTGAGAAACAGATTAAAGGGCTCGTAAGAGTTATTCTATCATTTTCTAATTAATTAATTTTTAGAGATATAAATTGTTACAAATTAGGTAACATTTTAGACAAAGATTTACCTAATTTATCCTCCCCAATTATTGTAGATAAGTGGAAAATATACTATCCAAAAACAAGATCACTTTTGAGAGCAAATGCCGTTTCATTTAGCAGATGTTTGAACATAATTTGGTTATTGGTAGTCAACAACTAACTTTTAAGCCATACTACTAATCAAAATTAGAGGCAATTACCAAATGAAAAGTTAAAAATCTTAAACGTGAACAAGTAGCCGTCATATTTGGTGGGATTCATCTATCATTTCAAGCTTGTGACAAAAAAGTTACTACAAAATTTCACCCAAGTACTACAATCCAGTTGATAGGTAGAGTAATTTACACAGGCAATACCCTAATTTGAATGGTAACTTCAACAAAGATTGCTGACCAAAAAAGGGCCGTGTATTTTGCCCTAATCATGATTAAAAGTTAAGGACATTTCTACAGATTGAGATCCAACAACACTTACCTAAGACAAGTTAACCTTTTCTCATTTCTCGCTCTCTCTCATTAGTCATCTCTCTCATCAGTCATCAATGGCATCCCTCCTAGTTTCGCTACTTGTTGCGTTTGTGTTTCTCACCTTTCCGTCGGTGACCATGGCTACTAATGATAACTACTATCCACCGCCACTCCCACTCCCACCACCGCCACCTCCTCCACAAATGATGTATCCACCACCTGAAGGTGTGCCCATGTCACCGCCACCATACCACCACCTAATTCTATCCCCACCGCCATCACATGAACTCTTTCTACTGCCACATTTTATGCCTCATCACAAGACTATCTTACCACCTTATCATTTGCCACCGAGGATAATTCTTCCACCGTGCCATCCATGTCATAAGATGCCACATAAGTTCAGGCCACACCCGCACAAACCTAAGCTGCCTCACAAGTTTAGACCACACAAGCATAGACCACCGCACAAGTTCTTCTTGCGACCACATCACCATCGCCACCACCATATGAGAGAACATCATTGGCCGCCTATCCATAGGCACCACTCACCAAGACATCATCACTGGGAGCCAATCCATAGGCACCACTCTCCCAGACACCATCATTGGGAGCCAGTCCATCATAGGCACCACTCGCCCGAACATCATTGGGAGCCAGTCCATCATAGGCACCACTCGCCCGAGCATCATCATTTGGAGCCAAATCATCATAGGCACCACTCTTCCGAACATCACCATTCTGCAGAACATCCCCAACGACAATTTCATCACCAATGGGGTCCTTGGCATCCACACCCCTTTTTCCCACCTATCTATCCCCCGCCAATATTCCATCACCACCACAGACACCATCATCATAGAAGACATCATGGCCACGGCCATCCAGCCCTACATCATCACAGGAGGCCATTCTTAAGGAACCATCATACACTACCTCATCACTTGAGAAGAAGAAACCGCAGCCATGAACAACCAACCCACCATCGGGGCATGACCTACCATCGCCATGGAATAATATATCATAGGCACCACCTACCACCTGCCCGCCATCAAACGATATACCATGGACGTCACCCTCCAGCAACTCACCGTCACACAACACCATATCACAGGCCAACAGTCCATAGACCCCACACCACAGCACCTCATCATGTTAGCCAAAATCATGGCCATCCTGCTCATCAATATCATGGAACGCATCACAATACTCCTTTATCTCATCACCACCACACACAAACACATCATCAGGTCAAGCCACCCCATAGCCACCATTCTGCTGCTCATCATGCAAAGTCAACCCTTAAGAAACATAATCCATCAGCAAGGCATCATCACAGTACAGAACACAGCAGCCATCACCACCACCAATCCTCTCATGAAATAAGTGCCGCACAGCAAGCTATGCCCCCTTCATTACAAGCTATGCCCCCTACATTACAATGACTGATTGGCAGCCGATAGAAAAAACAAATCTTTCGAGCACATCTAATAGACTTTAAACCTTTGTGAATGTAGCCTCAGTCTTGGTCTCTAGTCTAACATTGATGAACACTTGGCAGATACGAGCACAACTTAAACAACTTGAAGAAAAATGGATTGAGTAGCCACTAGATTAGTCCACTAAATGTGTCATTTTATAAAAATGCAAAAAAAATCAAAGTTTTCTAATTATTTGTAATTTTACAATATATAATGATATGAAAGTTCATTTCTGATTTAATTGGCAATTAATTTGTGTGCCTCAGTGTATTTTGTGTACCGGCTTTGAAATCCCTAGTCAGTACTCAGTAGTATATCTCAAACCAGTATGGCTTATCATCAAATCCTCACTCAATACAACAATACTCCATAACCTTCGAAAATCGCTATTTGCATTATCATCTCATTCACGAATCAGTGAAAGTGATGAGACACCAAGCAGAATCAAACATTCTATGATCCAGCAATGGCGGTACAGATACACAGACAAGGCATCATTTTCAGCCCTACGAGATTCAATGACCTAAATAATGACCTTGCCTAAGTATATTTCCCTGTTTATCAAATGGTATCATACACTCAATAAGCAATACTATTCAGCATAATGCAATACCACTACACAAATCAAGCAACCGAGGATCAAACACCGCGAATACTCGAATTCTAGCAGCACAATAACCATTTAAAGTGATTGTGCCCTGACATTCAAAATACTCTTTCTCTTCAATCACTGAACTATCTGAAAGAACCCATCTTTTTCATTTTAAGAAGCTCTAAATGAATTTTTCTACACAAATTATATCAACAAATTAACAAAACAACCTCAAATACTGAGATTTTTCATCCAACATATAAAATATTAGGAATAAAAACAATCAAATAGGCAAAACCAATAATTATAAAAGGTTCAAACTGATTGATTTCACGAAATAGATCCATACAAAACCAAAATCTCCAACAAAAATTGCAAATAAAAAAACGAAAATTACCAAAAAAAAACTAAAACCCATTAAAATTAAACCTCCAAGTTTCGCAGGACAAAAGCGAGGAGAGAGAAAACGATAGATCTAAAACAGGGTAGTACCCTTGCCCTTCTTATCACCACCAATCTCAAAGTGCTTGCAACGCTTAATGGAGTGTTGAGAGATGTGCTTACAAGTCTGACATTGAAGCCTGAGAACAATCTTCTTGGTAGTCTTAGCCTTCTTGTGGAAAACGGGCTTAGTCTGACCTCCATAACCAGATTGCTTGCGATCGTAACGACGCTTACCTTGCGCCGCTAAGCTGTCCTTACCCTTCTTGTACTGGGTGACTTTGTGGGTTGTGTGTTTCTTGCATTCCTTGTTCTTGCAGTAGGTTTTCTTCACTTTTGGGATGTTCACCATTTTTGCAGATTGTTGGAGGAGAAGGCAGAAACCCTAGAAATTGAAATGGGGGTGGAGATGAGATAGAATGGATGAGAGAGAAAATTAGGGGTTATTTGTTTTGACGGTGATTAGGGTTTTGAAGTTGTGGGCTTTTTTTGTGAGATGAGATGATGCTAGTAGTGTTGGGGATAAGCCCATGGAAACTAATCTTTTTGTAGGACTTGTATTAGAGAAATTGGGGATTTGGGGGAATCGATTGTTTTTGTCGGGTCAAGTTATATCAGGTCGAGTCGGGTTCATGTCGTATCGAGTAAAGTCTATTCTTGTTTGGGTTAATTGGGTATGAGTTGAGTCGATCTTCAAACTTTTTATGGTGTAGCTTTTGGTAGTTTTAGGCAAATTAAGTGTTCAGATTGAATTTGAGTCACTCCGTACTTAGATTGATGTTGGATTATTTAGGGCCTAATTTATTCAGCTTAATATCAATTCAGCTTAGGGTATGTTCTCATTGACTGAATGAGTTGAACTGAACTTGTTAGAGCTAAACTGAACTGCACTGAAATGAATATTTTATAAGAGAAGGAAATTAGAAGTTGAACTGAACTGAGCTGAACTGAATTGAACTGAACTTAGCTTAGCTGAATTGAACTGAAAATAATCGTATTAGAACAGACCCTTAATTTCAATTCAGTTCAGTTCCTGATTTTTTCTCTCACAAACAATTTAGTTCAGTTCAATCCGGTTCAGATAAGCTAAGCCCTAATCAATTCACTTCACTTCACTTGTTTTTAGTAAATCGGAACAAGCCCTTAGTTGTTTTGTATTATTAGGTCAATTTTGAGTCATCTTGAATTTTTAGTTTTTTGTGGATGAAACCACCTATAAACCACTACTACTTTTACGTACTTAAAATTAAGTAATTAGGGTACAATTATTATTGTATTCCCTCCGTCCCAAATTACTTGCAACGCTTTGACTTTTTGCACTATTCACGCATCTCATTTTGACCATATTTTTTAGCTATTATATGAAAACAATTGTAATCATATAAGATATTATTGGATCTATTTTAATGTATATTTTTTTAATATAAACTTTTTATAGTTTATATAAGTATAAATATAATAAAAGATATTGACGGTCAATCTTGTATATCGGTAAGCGCGTTCAGTCAAAATGTTGCAAGTAAATTGGGACAGAGTGAGTAATAATTAAGAATGCTATTATGTGAAATTTAATTATAATTGATCTTCAATCGCGGCAATGATTTCCAAACACCCTCGTTTTATAAGAATCGAAAAAAACCTTAAAACTTAAGGAAAAAGTATTACTCCATCTGACTCAAAATAATTGACACACTCAACTTTGCACGTTTGTCAGTGCACTAGTTTGACTTTATTTTTATATAATTAAATATTAATGAAAATTATTTAAAATTTATATTATGAAACGTTATATTAGATCTAACAACGTATATTATAATTTTCCTTAAAAACAACATATTTTATATATGATAAAATATGTATTTTTATGTAGTAAAAAATTATAGTCAAACCTAATACATTAATAATGGAAAAAGTCTAATGTCCCAGAGGGGGGTACCAAATACGGTGCAACTCAATAACATACCGTTGACTTATATTAGTTCAGTTAATAAATACAATATGAAAATAGGCTATAAGGGGTTACTAAAAAGAGTTTCAAGGCTATGGGTATGTTTACATTTACTTAATTTCATTTCAATTTAGCTCTAGTCAGTTCAGTTCAACTCTAATCAGTTCAGTTCAGCTCTTAATTTTTCTCTCTCATAAAATATTCATTTCAGCTCAATTCAGTTCAGCTCAATTCAATTCAGTTCCAATCAGTTCAGTTTAGTTCAGCCCTGTTCAGTAAATGTGAACATGCCTTAAATTAAGAACGAACAAAGAGATTGAGGACTATCAAATTGAATTGTTGTGATAATTTAAAGAGAATATATTGCGTAAGTATGGACCAATGAAATATTTCGTCAATCTAGTGATTTTTTGAAATCCTCTATTGGCTGAATGATATTTTCTACTAGCTGGATGATGGCACGCATGGCTAAATGACATCCTCTATTGACTATATGATATCATATAGCTAATAGAAGATATCATCCATCCATGATATCATATCATATAGCCAATAGAGATTATCATATGAAGTAATTTTTTTATTTTTATTTTTTGAAATAATCATATGAAGTAATTTATATAACATCCCTCTGATTTATTGAATTTTTCATTTGGCATCACTCTAAAGTTCTATTCTCTTTGCCTGATTTTAACAATTTAAATTAATTTTGCGAAAAAAAATATTGTAAATATAAATCACTATCAATCTATGAAATGACCAAAGTAAAATTATGTTAAAATCTCAAAGAAAGAAAGAAAAAAAAAAGATTAAAATTAGATAAATATAGATCTTGATTGATTCAATATGGCCGTCACTTTCCAACAAGGACGTAGCCCAAAAAAAATTCAATATAGATAGTTGGTGATTGGTTTAATCAGTAGACATTAGGTTAAAGAAATAAGATTAATTCGTCAAATTTAACAAGCTACAGAGCCTACAGTCGTTATCAAAACTAAAAAATCAATTAGACTACGTAGTAGCTAGATGAGATGAATCAACCAACTTGAAGCCGCGCATGCTACGTTTTATGCATGTGTCACATTTCTTTAACAACTTATTGTTGGAGGGGAAAAAAAGAGGAGGAGAAAGTATAGAGGTAAAATGGGTTCTTACCTTAGCCAATGGCGAAATCAAAAAGTTTTTATTAAGGGAGTGAAATTAGTATACTGAAATTTTTTCCATCAAGGCGGATGCACAATGCTCCGTGCATCCGTTTTCTTTTTAAAAAGACGGAATGAATATTTAGTTGTTCATTAAAGAACATATGGTTATTTTATAAAGAAAATCTAGCTGTTTTATAAAGAACCTCACATATAGTTGTATTGTAATGAACATATAGTTATTTTGTAAAAACATATAGCTATTTTGTAAAAAAAACATCAAACTTTATGTTCTTTATATATATTTAAAGAAAATCCGTAATTTTAATAATGAACATGATTATTAGAGTTGGTCAACTTCAGCCCGACCCGATCCAACCCAAAAATAAGGCGGGTTTGGTCAAGCCTAAAAATGCATTTCCCTACTTTATAAAAAGTAGAATCTTGCTCTTATGAATAGTGTTGTGACAATTATAACCCCAAAAATGTGTATTTACGCATTTGCCCCCATTTAATATTACAAGATTTTTTTAATATTGTATATCTTCTCTTTGTTATTCAGTACTTCCCTACTTTGTAAAAAGTAGAATCTTGCTTTTATGAATAGTGTTGTGACAATTATAACCCAAAAAATGTGTATTTATGCATTTGCCCCCATTTAATATTACAAGATTTTTTTTAATATTGTATATCTTCTCTTTGTTATTCCGTACTTTTTCATCTCTTCCCATTCAATCGGTTGAATTATTGGTTTCAAGTTTCAACCACAAAGTCACTGACAATCTTCAAAGGTATTTTTCAATTTTAATTTCAATTGTTTTATAAGGTTTTGATTGATTTTAGATTTTAAGGTATTATCCTTTTTAAATTTTAGGGTATGGGTATTAATCTATTTTTCCTAAATTTGATTGGATTTTGAAAGAAAAAAAATATAGTAGATAATTAAAGTGAATGGAGAACCAGAAACAATATAAGCGAGGGAAATATACCAACTTCCAGGCACTACCCCATGGAAGCCCCTCATGTCTCTTTCTATTCTTTCAATATGATCATTTCATGAATATTTGTCAGTGACTTTGTGGTTTGTCCAGTTAAGCGCTACCACAAATCCGATCAAAAGGTACTTTAATTTTTTCCCTATACGATTTTTTAGGATTTTTATTTATGATCTTTAGATTGTACTTTGGTTTTGATTTTGGAGATTGTAGAATTTTACAAAGGTCGCTTTCAACATTGCTATTAGATTCGTTGTTATGAGATGCAAAGGACATCTAAATTTCGATTATAATTTTGGGATTACGAGCGTAAAATGAGAGTCCACAACTTTAAAAGATGCAATTTTTCAAGGTACATGTTTTTTAAAGGGAGTAGAATGTCTTTGTGCTTAGGCTCTGGATGTATATTCTATATTTGAAGGAAAGGAGGTGTGAGTAGTTCTCTTATCAATCCTAACCTACCTTAAAGGTTTATTGTTACTTGTTAGAAGAGAAGATACCACTTTTTTGGTGAGATTCTGATATGATGCATCCTAATAATGCTATATGCTCTGCATCTAATGAGTATCAGCTTATTAATGATTTACTGTATTTCTTTGTATTGTTGAGTTGAATTAAGCTGAGCTCAAGCTTGTCTGCATTGGATAACTAAGCTCTTCTTACATTGGGTTTAATTACAAAGTATTAAAAAATAAAAAAATAAAGCCCCTAGACCAATATACAAAGAGAGGAAAAATAAAAGCTACTCCGTATTTTATTATTTTGGATTTCTACATTGGGTTCAAGATACCAAAACTTTATATTAGATGATCATATTAGACTTAACAACAATATATACTAAGTATAAATGCACGTTGCATTGGACTTAGGCAAAATCCAAACTCAAAACTAAAATTTAACACCTAAGAGTCCTAACTACTCAGAGGGTACTCAAGAATAAATTGATGCAAAATTTCATTATTCCTCTGTTTGTTTCTCTTTGTTTTTCAGCTTGTAATATGTATCAAAATTTTATTCTAGAGAATCATCTAGACTCTATAAGAAAAACATATAAATGCTATTTTTTACTCTTTAAAATACATAAGAAAAAGGTTAAGGATATATGATTTTGAACTTAATAGTCGATTGTTACTTTTTCTAAAGGTTCATTGTATTAATCCTTACCAGTTTCAAGGTATTTAAAGATTGCATAAGACATTTTTCCGTGCAAAATGCTTACTAATCATAACTATGTACAAGCTAAAATCTTAAGTACGAAGACAAGCCTTGATAACTTCTCCGCATTGGCTAGCCATGTCGCGCATCGCGTGCGTTGGCCACCCTAGTTTAGTTAAAAAATCCAAATCCGACCTAAAAAAAGCCTGCTATATTTTTCGGGTTTGGGCACGAAATATTATGTTAAG